ATGAGACTATAATGAACACAAATATAAAACATCAACTCTCTTCTTGAGGAGCACTAACAGGGTAGCTTTATTATTATTATTATTATTCTAGCGGTACAAGGTGAAAAGCCGCTGCGATGAAACTAGCAACAGCCATTCAACAAATATACCATTAAAAGCATCCATCAGCTTCCAGATCAAGAGGAAATGGAATAATATGCAGGTGGTAGAGAAACATTCATCCATTTTCTCAGGCATCTCTTGATGAGAACCCGTAAGAAGACAGATGGGTGTCATGATGGCATCCACACATTCACATGCTCCTATGTCACCCTTCATCCCCAAACTAATGTACAGAATTCACACGGTTGCTCTATTTTTCTCCCTGGGGACGGTCCTGTAAAGAAGGCTTGGTGGAATGAGAATCTTCCGAAGTCCTTCAGTTTCCAAGGACGGCATGATCTTGATAGAGTCATGTCACTGCACCCATCCACCCAACCAAACAAATATTGACTATGCTAATAAAGAACAGAATACCAGAGTTGGAAGGGACCTTGGAGGTCAGAGGTGGTATTCAGCAGGTTCTAACCAGTTCTGGAGAACTGGTAGCGGAAATTTTGAGTAGCTTGGAGAACCGGCAAATACCACCTCTGCCTGGAGATTTTACAGTATCCTCCCCCTGCCACGCCCACCAAGCCATGCCCACAGAACCGGTAGTAAAAAAAATTGAATCCCACAACTGTTGGAGGTCTTCTAGTCCAACGCCCTGGGCAGGCAGGAAATCCTACCCCATTTCAAATCGTCGTCCAATCTCTTCTTAAAAACCTCCAGTTGTTGGAGCACCCAGAACTTCTGGAGGTAAATTGTTCCACTGATTAGTTGTTCTCACTGTCAGGAAATGTCTTCTTAGTTCTAAGTTGCTTCTCTCCTTGATTAACTTCCATCCATTGCAATCGTGGGGCCCATTAACTCTGTTTCCCAGCCAATTTTAATTATTTTCTCCTTAAGTTCTAGGTTGCTTCTTTCCTTGATGAGTTTCCACCCATTTGCTTCTTGTCCTTCCCTCGGATGCTTTGGAGAATAGGTTGACTCCAGTGGTGGGATTCAACATTTTTTTACTACCAGTTCTGTGGGTGTGGCTTGGTGGGCATGGCATGGCTTGGTGGGCGTGGCTTGGTGGGCATGGCAGGGGAAGGATACTGCAAAATCTCCATTCCCCCCCCCTATTCCTGGAGGAAGGTTACTGCAAAATCCCCCTTCCCTCCCCATCCCACTAACCTGCTTTCCAGCTCTGTTCTCCTAGTGCAGGACAACCCAAGACGACCCAGCCAATCAGCTGGGACTCAGAGAAGAGATGGGTGCGGGGCCAATCAGAGATAGTATTTGCCGGTTCTCTGAAATACTCAACATTTCCGCTACCGGTTCTCCAGAACTGGTCAGAACCTGCTGAATACCACCTCTGGCTGGGGCCACATAACATGTTAAATAAAAATTAAACAAGTCAAAATGAAGCTGATGGCTAATCTTAGTGTTAATCCCAGTTTCTGGTTTTGGGTTGTTGATTTACTTCTGTTTGATGAGTCGCAGGGCTTACCATAAGAGAAAAAAAGTTGTAGCTCAGGGTTGACCTAATGACTCCTTGATGCTCCACTACTGGTTCTCCAGAACTTGTCACAACCTGCTGAATACCACCTCGGGTTGACTCCGTCTTCTTTGTGGCAGCCCCTCAAATGTTGGGACACTGCTATCAAGATAGTCCTTATGCACTGTATGTATGTATGTGTGTGTATATATATTTAAAAAAAATAAAAATAAGATAGTCCTTCTTTTCATTAAAAAGGGTCTTGCACCGACCATCCAAGTGCCCTCAATATTGCACATCTCCTTCTTGGCCAGAATCAGATGCTTTTTCTCAGGGTGCTATTCATGGAATAGTCGAGACAAATGCCAACTTCGATAAACCAGGGAGTTGGTCACTGAGACCAGCCCTTCTCGGGAGTTTACTCACTATTTTTAGAACGTGTGCAAATGTCTATTGGGCCGTACTAATCCTTTGCTAATGCATCTTCTCCCTCCAGGCAAAGTACATGCAATGTTTGACTAATCGGATGGTATGTTTCCTCAATCTGATTCTTACCTAATTGTAGCTAATGAGAAGAATCCAGCAGTTTCAGGTCCTTGTGCCAGCGAGCAATTTAAATAGAATCTGCCCGAGGCAGTGTGGGGAAAAAGTATGAATTAAATAATGCAAGATCATTAATCGATGCGTTTGTCAAAAGGTGTTGTTCGGCGGTCCCAGCTGCCTGTGTTACAAACTCTCTTGGTGAACTTATTCTTACCCCGACCTTCTCGACTGGCTGAACTTTCGGTGCTCTAATCAAGAAAATTCATAATCATTTGAGCTAAGTTAATTATTAATCACTCTTCCAGGAGCACGGATTGTAGAGATAACTGAATAGGAATGTCATGGACCCATAGACAAGAGTTGGTGGTGTTGTGTCCCGCTGGTGGCAGACTTGGACAGGGAGGAGGCTGGGGAGGAACATGGGCCAGTCCTGGAGGCTGGGGAAGGCTCTGACCAGTGCTCTGCATTGGAGGCAGAGATGGGGCCAGGGCCGCCTTTGGAGTCGGACATCAGTGGGGCAGAAGAACAGCTGGAGCCTGTTCTCAATGTGTGCATGTGCAGAGCTGCCAGGAGAAGGGAACAGTTAAGGAACAAGGATAAACTCGGGAGTAAAGGCACAGGTGGACAGAGAAGGGAACAGTTAAGGAACAAGGATAAACTCGGGAGTAAAGGCACAGGTGGACAGTGAATGGCCCTTCCCATAGGGAATAAAGAGGAACAAAAGGGGAGTGGTGTTTGTAGGAGACAATTAGTTCATTTAATTAGTGTGAAGATTTGTTCCTGACTCCTTGCCAAGTATTTTCTGCTACAGCGTTGTGCTTGGAAGCTATCGGCCTGGCAACTCTCCAAGCCTGATAAGGTCTGTGATTGTAAATCATTCTCAAAACACTGTTTGCCAGGCCTTTGCTGGATGTGAATGATAGGAATTCACATTAGCCTAAATGAAAGCGATTTGCCAACTGATATTTTGATAATTCAGAAGATCCACGACTGCGCAGAGATGGATAAACTCATTCAAAAGTTAAAGGATAAGGAAGACTCAAAATATTTTACAGTTGGGGAAAACTGGTATAATTGGATAAAAAGTAGAAACCAGCGAGTGAATAGATAGGGAAGAGAAAATATATAGAGGTTATAATAGGAGTATTAACCAGGTACAGGAAATAAATATTAGAAAATAGTCTAATAGAGAGAGAGAGAGAAAGAGAGAGATAGGGATAGATAGAGATATAGAGATAGAGATAGGGATAGAGGGAGAGGGGGGATATATATATCTATATAGAGAGATATAGATACATCAATCAATAGAGAAATAGAGAGAGAGAAAGAGAGAGAGAGAGAGAGAGAGAGAGAGAGAGAGAGACTTTAAAAAAGCAAATGTGGTTTAGGATTAGATCTAAAGGAATAAAGGAGGACAGATCAAAAGCTGAATTTAGTGTTTATATAATTGTCTATAATTAAATCTTACTAAAATAGTAATGAAATGAAACCCGAGCAAATCTTTAAAAATCAATTTGTTTAATGCAGCTAATGTGATTTCTCTCCGTTCATTTTCTCCATCTGCCAGATTCTGGAGAGGCCAAATTATGTCCTCAAATTCTTGCCTTGGATGAAAGAACGATGGGGGTCAAACATGCCACTCATCGTTATTTGGTTTCACTTGCAAAAGGATTAAGCGGATCGCTGGGATGGGTCCAGCTCATTTCGCAAGGCTCCTTGAATTCTTTTTACTATTGTTTGTACTTCTCATTTCAACGGTTGTTAAATGCCGCTCAGAGACGTTTTTCAAGGGATAGAGGTACAGCTAGTCCTCAACTTAACAACAGTTCATTTACTGACCGTTCAAAGTTACAAGGGCACTGAAACAAAAGGAACCACAGGCATTTTTCACACTTATGACCATCATGGCATCCCCGTAGTCAAAATTCAGTGGTTTGGCAACTGACTAGTTGTTCTGAACAAGGCTTCCCGAGACAGTAACTAAGCACACGCTTAGTTAAAACAACTCTTGTTTTATTTCAACACTGGGAATTATGTGCATTCCCAGCCAGTAATGAGTCCCAAACAGTCCCTTGAGATAAGCACCCACCTTTCTCTCCTTTGAATTGCTGCCAACAACTAGAGTGCCAAATAAACTGGGGAAAAAAACCAACCAAGTACAAAGTCCACACAGAGCTCCAAGGATTAATCTGAACAGAGCAAACGACTTTGCTTCCTGCAAAGGTTTCTCTACCTTTGCCTGTCTTTTATACCTTATGGGAGGGGCAATCATCTCTAAGCCTTACTCCTGAGTCACCCCTTTTGTCTCAGCTGTTCTTGCCTTCTGGCAGCTCTGCGTTCAAGCACTCTGGGAACAGGCTCTCCTGGGTCCTGTACCTTGCTGCTGCCAGACTCCGGAAGCTCTGGAGGCAGCACCCCGCTCCCAGATGGTCCTGGCCCCATCTCTGCATCGGATGCAGGACCCTCATTTGAGTCCTTTCCAGACTCCCTGATTGGTCCCCGTTCTTCCCCACTCTCCAATTCCGCTGCCGTCTGCACAGGCTGCTGGCAAACCACAACACTAGTATTTATTTCTGTGGCCGTGTCTCTTGAGGTTACACGATCCCCTTTTGCGACCTTCTGACAAGCAAACTCAATGGGGAAGATTCACTTACTGACCGCCTTACAAACTTAAGAATGGCCACAGTTCACTTAACAACTGTGTGAAGAAAGGTCATAAAATGGGGCAAAATTCACCTACATCTCTCAGCGGCATAAATTTTGCCTCCACTGTGGTCATGAGTCGAGGACTACCTGTCCTTCATATGTGTTTGCACCTTCTTTGTTTAAAGACAAAGGCGATGGCTTCATAGGATGAATAATTCAACCGGCTCCACCTTCTGTTATTTCTCTGCAGAAACTCAACGTACTGCATGAAAGTATCCATGTCGTTGACAGTTGCCGAAAATGAACTTGGACTTTGTTACAACAGCACAATTCGTTACTTAGAAAAATCAGAAATCACCAGGACCAAAGTCATTTCCTGCCCAGATACCGAGGATTATAAAATGGGCAAGCAAGAGCCAGATATAATCTGGTATAAGGTGAGACCGTTACAAATAAATAAGTAAGTAAGTAAGCAAGTAGATAGGTGGATGGGTGGATGGATACACAGACAGACAGATGGATAGATAGATGACAGATAGATAGATAGATAGATAGATAGATAGATAGATAGATAGATAGA